CCACCACCTCAACCCCAGAATGCCCAGGACTTACTTTAGCTGTCCCAAATCAGGACCTGGCACTTTTGCCAGTAGAAATGGGAAAAAGCACTGTTGTAAACCACTGTTAAACAAATAAGGTGATAGGAGTTATATAGGCTTATCCCTTTGATAAGCTACATTAGTGTTCAAACATGCATAATGATGACATTCCCTTTCACTTGAACATTGTTAAAATGTGTATGGAACTGTAATCAACTTTTGATATTAAGAAAGTCATTAAAACAAACAGTGTCTGGAGACGAGGCATTGGGGGTCTTGCAGAGCCTCATTTTAATGTACTCAGCTTCCTACCAGCTAAGGGGTGTTCTCCAAACTGTATCTGACCCATATATTAGCAGATGATGAAATAAATTAGTGTTCCACACCCTGTACAATTTTTAAACAAAAATACAATAACAGAAAATGCCAGAGTGCAACAGTTTCATAGAACTTCCGTTTCAACTGATACATACATGAGTGTTCTGGGTCACAATGGGCTAAGGTCAAAATTTTTTAAAACTCCTGAGTTAGCTAATTCCTATTTTCTGATCATTTTTCCTTCCTATACCAAAAAATTCTCCATGTTAGTTTTGTCCTGTAAGTTGCTCCCTTCTTTATTTATAGCCACTGAAACTGTAGGCATTGGGCTGCTGAGATCCAGAATAAGCCAGCTGGCTTGGGCCAGAGGCCTTCCCACAGCTACACTATACCTGCGCCAGCTGGGGAAGCCGGTGACCAGTTTGAGGATATCTCAAGGCTCCATATCCATTGCCAGGCCTTGGGCTCCTGAACCTCTAACCTGAGTGTGCCAAGCTCCAGGGTTCCTGGGCATTACCCACACCTGTGTTTCTCAAAGAGGCATGGGTCACACCCTGCTGGCAGAAAGGGTGCATAACCTCAGCCCTTCAGAAGTGGGTGGGGCTGTCTTGAGAACATCACGTAACCCCAGTTCGCACACTCCCTGTTTATATTCTCTCTTCTCCCATCTCAGGCCCCCTGGGCCGGCCTTGATAAAGAAGGCAGCCTCTATAGATTACCAAAGTCATAAAGGTGGGGACCTGAGGCGACACAGCAAGGTGGCAGCAGGAAGAGGAGAGGAACTGGGCACACTAACTCTGGCAGGCTGGACTGACAGGAGTAGCGGGGTCTGGGGTGCTGGGCTCTAGCCCTGGCTCCGCTAACACGTGCGCTCTGGGACACCTCCCTGACACCACCGCGCTTACCCGAAAGTCGTGGGCAGTGTCCTTCACTGGCTGCACGCGGTGCCCCTGGTGCCGGGGGTCTGCCTGGCACGAGCAGCACAGCAGCTCCTTGTCATCGAGGCAGAAGAGGTTGAACGGGCCGCGATGCAGGCGGCAGAGGCGCGGGGAGCGGTGGCCAGTCCAGCGCGCGCCCTCCGCCTCCTCGCGTAGCAGCTTCTCCACCAGGTTGTTGAGGGTGTGGTTGGTGCGTAGGTCGGCGGGGGCCGCGCGGTCCTTGCACACTGGGCAAGTGGGCGCCACCTGTACCTCCCAGCAACGGGTCACGCACCCGCGACAGAAGTTGTGGCCGCAGCGGAGGGTCACGGCATCGCGGAAGGGATCGTAGCAGACGGCGCAGAGCAGCTCCTCCTTGAAGGAGCGGGAAGGCCCGGGGGACGGAGCAGGGACCGGCTCCATGACACCGGCCGCCAGCTCGCGTGTTCGCAACTTTCGCTCCGACCCCACCCACCCGCTCCGCGGCTCCGGGTACCCTGGGGTGAGCAGCACCCAGCCACTTCCCCTCCAAGCGCTAAGCGGCAGTGACGCCGGCCAATTGGGCAAAGCGCGCTCGGGAGGCACCGCCCCCCT